TTAATATAGCATGAGAAGGGGGAATAGGCTACTTGATATTGATAAACTCACGGATAGAAGAGGGAATAGGCTACTTGATATTGATAAACGCACGAATAGAAGAGGGAATAGGCTACTGGATAGAGAGAGAAATATTTTAATTGGTATATACGTTTAATGTACTAGATATAGTGGAACTCAGGAAAGAAGAAACAAATCAGAGGGAACCTGAAGATAAATGGACCTTATCGTCACTTTCAGTCACATCATTATCATCACATCTTTGCAGTGACACCATAATCACCTCATTACTACGTTAAGTGTTATTATATAGCTATCTTATCATTATTGCTTTCAGTCACATTAAGTAGTTGCCATATTATTGCTTGATTTAGTCGCATCTCACAGCTGCCTTATCATCACTGACTTAACTAATATCACAGTCACTCCATCATTACATTCAGTCACCTGGTACAACTGCCTTATGAACGCTGCATTTTAATCACATCACGGTCACCTTATCACTGCATTCAGTCACCCCAGTTTTTTTATGGTAATACACACCCACATCACATAATTAAGTTGTAATATATTTCAGTTATTTCATGACACGGTATTTAGTCACATATAACATGCATTGATGAGGTTTTAATGATAAATACTAAAGTATTGCATCATTCATTAATTTTATAATGGTATTGAGATGCATTACCTACTCACTTTTTCATTGTATTCAGTCACGTAGCAGCTGCTTTCATTTAGGTTTTCACAGTATTTGTAACCTCCATCTACACTAGCGTTACCAAATTGAAGGGTCTTCAGGGATTCTCCAATTATCTCCTGTAGATAAAACATTCATAAGTATAGTTTTAATATTGGATGAACATTAACATTTCTCACAAGTCATGCGGTAGACTCAAAAGTATGACTTTCAGAACCGTTGAAAAGTTTCTTAAGAGATTGTTCGTAAGATTTTTTCATCAGTGGTAAATCAAATCCAGAAAATATTGCACTAAAACTTACAGCTGATTAGGCTTACTGAGTTTCTCTATAATTATACTATAATTATGCATGGAGTAGTTATTGAGTAGTAACAGAGAAGGTAGCGTATGATCGGACAAACATGTATGAGTTGTTATTCTGGTCTGTATAAGTTGTTTTGAGCATTTTGTGTCAAAACACACATACACACCAGTTTTGTATAAAAGGGTGTGCTTTTGGCATAATCGTTTTCGAAACAGATTAACTTTGTTCAGGCAATTTCTCTGTACTTGATGTATAATCAAGAAATGGTGTGAAGTAAACGAACATTGCCAGAACATTAGGGTACCTCCAGTGTACTATATCCGGAAGCTTGAAACGACATCGGACTACAGGAAACATTGTTCCAGAAACGTCTGCTGGTTGACGCTGAAAAACTACTTCCAGAAATGACCGTGTTCAGGTCAGATTAACAGGTCAAGGTCAAAAGAATTCTTGCAACGCTTTACGACAGGAATGGAATGAACACATTCAATCAAGGGTACCTAGAAGAACAGTGAATAGGGGACCGATCAAACGAGGTTATTTAGCAAGAATCTGCAAACTTATATTAACCAGAATTTATCGCCGTAGCCGTTTTACTTGGGCAAGCCAGCATGTCAACTTACAGTTAGGAAACTGGCGACATGTCATCTTTTCTGATGAGTCCTGTTTCCCGTTTGTTAAAGCCGATGGTAGGATTCGTGTTCGTTGTTTACCTGGAGAACTGATGAGGGAACATTGTATTTCCCACAAGGAACACACAGGAGGTGGTGCAGTACATGTTTGGGCAGCTATTCATCATTGTAGAATAACTGCTCTTCATATCCTCCAGGAAAATTTTAATAGCGCCATATTTCTGCCATATGCTAGGGAAAAGTTTAGCAATAACTTTGTGTTCCAAGATTGTATGTGCATCACGTGATCCAGCGGTCAGAATCCCACTATATCCTATATATAGGGTGGGAAGTTAGCGGCTGGTGATAGTTTATGGTGCCGTTGCCTGCTAATATATATTATGTAATTTATAAATAAACGGATTTTGTTCTTATTCCGCTTGAGTTTGTACCCCTGTTAAAAATAATCATTCATACAAGAACGCAGAAGCAAATAATACCACAAATAGGAGGGGAAAAACAACTTTGTTGAAAAAACTTCGTCATACAGTCCATATGAAAACTCCTCAACATATAAAGCGTGAAGGTGAAACAAACTCATTATGTGCTTCTGATATTACAGATCAGTTACTCTCAAAGTGTAGACCTTGAACATATGTTTAGTTTGCAAATTGATTGGTTAAATGTTGTGTTATTTATTACAATCTCCAAGTCAACTTTTAAATATATATTATTAAAACCTCCAAGATCTCTCTCACAATACTTAGTCCAACCAACACAATTAATGTCTGTAAATTGCTCTGTTTAAAAGTTCTTGGTTTTTTTGTTCTTCTTAGCCTCGTCGTTAAACCTCCTATTTAAACGCAGTAAAAACGAAGAAGCTTGTGATCCAGCCAAGTAATTAATGTGTAATATAAATATTACCTGTCATTTTCCGAAGATAACGATCACATATGTTTATGTGTATATTGACATCATCGTAAAACTAAATTCAGCCTGATGACCAATGACAAATGAGTTTTTGCGGAACATGATGGCACGTGGGCAACCCAAATATAATAAATACTTTAGAGAGTACTAACCATCTAGTTAGCCATATAATAGTCTAGCGTGCTAACGTTAAATAAATCAATTCGAGTGTCTAAGAAAACCTGGCGTCCGCGTCAAGTTAAAGTTGAAAATATAAATACCTGACATTTCTCAATCCCAAAGTACAGCTGTTTGATGTAGTCTTTAGCTACATGTTCTTGTTCAGTGCCTCTAAGGAAGATAGAAAAAATATGGAATATAACATCAGAACAGACCAAATACAGATAATACATCAAAACAACACTGCACCAGTCCTAATAGTTGAATATTTATCCAGAATCTGCAAAATAAACCAATTAATTATTCATTTCTTGTACAACGAGATAAAATTTTTATTTTTTATGCAATTCCTCATCGATCAACGTTTAAATTTTTCAATCGCATTTTATTTGACCTAGAAAACACATTTCCTTCTTGTTCTTTTTTTATAGGCTTAAGAAATACTTTGTATATGACAATGAGATACACAAACACTCACCCTTTTTTTCCAATATCGGTAATTAATCTTTTACAGTTTCGTTTATATCTTGTTCAGTTTAATTTCGAAATGAAATCTACGAAGCTTTGAAGTAATCTTAAATTCTGAGTGTTCAAACTAATGTAGCAAAAGTAACATTTTGAATGATTTTTTGGGAGAATTAAAACCTCTAACCAAATTAAGATTATAATAAGATTTTTAAACTTATGATTTCAAAACTAAGAACAACGTACGACTAAAATATATCAGGTGTTCAAGTTTATGTTAAATGATATATTATAAATATTACATATAATTATATAATTTCCGAATGACTTCTTACTATTCCTATCTATCTGATTTAGTGTTGTTGTTTATTTTATCTTTTAAGAGATTAGGTCTCAGTACTGTTATCAATGTGCACGACTGGAACAGTGAGAGTTTAGACCCACACTGGACAGAAGGCGGATAGTTTTTCGTGTAGCTTTGTGCTTAACAACAACAAAATAGAATAAATATAACCGAATTGCTGGAGTGGTTATTTCAAAGAAACAATAAAAATATTTACTTGAAAGAGAGTTCTTCAGTTTAAGCGCTCAAAATATTGACATATTTCTACGTCAAGTCGCTCTTTTAACATTCAACAACGTTTAATTAAGACGTAGGTTAATTAATAGAGATAACTTATAAATCAAACATTAACTCTTTTTTGTACATTGTAACATACAGGTAACAAATCTATCTTTCTTAGTCAATACACGTACAAATGCTTCAATTCTGTTGTTGAATGCTTTTACTTCCATATAACTATCTAAATAAACCAGGGAAATATTTTTGTTGGTTCTTCAATTGAACAATGTTACTTCTATGTAACTATTTAACCCATTTATAACTTACCAAAATATATTTCACAAAAACATTTTCCCCCTATACTTTCATAATACATTTAAAAGAGGGTTAATAAACTCCCATTAAAACATTGTTATATATATCACACTTTCCCAAACAATAACACCATAGAAGTTAAGTTATTGTATTATGTCGTTGCAATTCTAAGCAATTAATTAAAATAGTTACCATGTTACCCAAACATTTACTTACGTTATTGCGTCATGATGTTGCAGGACAGCTACAGCTCGTTCTAATTTACAAAAGAATAAAACATTAAAACAAAGATAACACTTTGGTTGTTGTTTTTGACTAATTACTTGGCTTACTTATATTTCTTTTCTGAATATCTTTCAAATAGGTAGACAAACGAAGAAAGAGAGAGCGGAGAAATTAATAAATAATCCGGCGCAGATATCCCTCGAGTAGCTTCGCGCGAAATTCAACAACAAACAAATATCTACACTGACAAACACGCACAGACCAACAAACGTGTAGGAGAAACAGATGTAGATCGATAAGCAATGAGATACAGGAAAGAAAGACATATACAAATAGATAGACATAGACTGTCATTCGCATCGTACTGACCTAAATCAATCACATGATTTGACAGTTTAACAGAAAACAAGAGTGTCACACAGTGAAACATTTTCTAAAAGTTACGGTTCGTGTGACATTATTCATACATTACACACTAGGAATTAGATATTAAATCCGTAGATGAGCCTCAAAATCTAAGCAGTCTTGTGTCTCTTACTCCCTGCAGACTAAGTATATTACAACTAGAAAATTTAACTTATTCGCGTATAAATATCAATGGGCATTCTTTCATGAGATTACCCCGTAGCCTAATCTAGAAGTTGTGTAACTGAAGGTTACTCTAAAAGGAAAAATTACTATGGAATCTGTAAATCTCTTCTAACCTGTCGACATGTATAGATCATTAGAGATAATTAGATAACATGGTTGAATATATAAAAAATGCTAAGTATGTGGTGCTTACTTAAGAAGATAATGTCATCATTTTGTACTCCAGATAATGTAGAAAGCTGCTTACAGGCCTAAAAAATACGACAATCAGAGTTAAAACATTAACGTCGGTTGAACAAGAAAATCATATAACGTAATCATGAAACATCACTTACATAATAGCTATTCATCAACAGTTAATGGTAGTTTGGAGAATAAATTATATGTAATGTCGAATTCTTTTTTTTTATCTCAAATGAATCAACCTGTCACGATATTTGTAGCCCCTTTTTTATTTCTGTTACTTACACACTCTAGCAATTTGTAGCCCCTTTTTATTTCTGTTACTTACACACTCTAGCAATTTGTAGCACCTTTTTATTTCTGTTACTTACACACTCTAGCAATTTGTAGCCCCTTTTTTATTTCTGTTACTTACACACTCTAGCAATTTGTAGCCCCTTTTTTTATTTCTGTTACTTACACACTCTAGCAATTTAGTAATTTAGTTTCGAATTAATGAAGATGAAAGCTAAAATTTGAATTCAATCTTTAATTTTTTTTATTTGTTAAATATCCACACTTTTTATTCGTAACCTTTACTTTTAACATTCTAAAAATTTTTGGTAAAAATTACTTCCTTTCTCTGAAAAAAATTATTTAATTATTTATTTTTTACATTAAAAAGAACACTTCTAATACAATACAGTAGTGTGGGAAAAGTAACATCCCAAGAAAATAGTTCCAAGAGCAGATTTCTCATAAAGTATACTTATTAAAGAAAAAAATATAATCTACCTTTCAACAACAGATTTCTCAAACTGTATATATATATATATATATATTTATTTATATGTAATTTCTTTATTCTGATTTATTTGTTCTACCGTGTTTTGTATTGGAGATTGGGCGGGGATATGAGTTTTAATCCCTCATAACCTGGAAACTAGTGCGAATTCGGGGAACAATTCGGATTTCATTGCAAGGAGTAAAAATTTTTATTTAAAATTTTTAAAAAACGAGAATACCTGAAAATTTTGTTTAGGAATCTGCCCACCAAAAATATCTTCCTGCCTCGCAAAGTGGGCGTTAAAATACTTACTTCGTTTTTCTATTGCTCAAAAAATAGAGTTTTGATAAAGTAGATATATATATTTTAAGGTGCCAGTTCCTTTTTCTATAGCCACAACAATATAATTCAAATAAAGTACAGTTTCCTGAAACACTTACAACCATGCTGTTGTGACACTTCTTTATATATTCTTCGAATTTATATCTCGTGACCGTAACTATCAAGTAATGTGTACTAGCCTGTAAAAACGTGTTGGCTTCTCTTGCATAAAGCTTAAGGCTAGGTCGACTTGTGTAGTAGCCAGTCCAGTAGCTATGAACTCTGTCAGCGTAGGGAAAGAAGTCTTCTGCAGTAACACTCCAGTGGACGTTTGTCTGGTTAAGACTTCTGAGATAACAGGCCGGTGTAGAATAAAACATGTTCACCCTACTGCCTGTAGCTTGCTGAAATGCATAATTTCATTTTATTTTATGTAGTGCTTTTCTTATAATACAGATCGAATATAGTTAGATCCACAATCTCAAAATACAAAAACTGTTTTTTCATCTGTTTTCTTAAACAAAGCACAAATTTTCGGCTAGATTCTTTTTTCAGGTGCGTATTCTAAATAATCTACAAGTAAAATAGCATCATAAAACAATTATATGTCGTTTTACTTTGTTGTTGTCGTTTACAAATATCTAAAATTTTGTATGTAAGCTTTCGCATTTTATCTTCAACATCCAAATATCTCGTGGAGGTTCATAAACATCTCCATTAAGTTTGGAAAAACTAGCATTCTCATCAGTAGTTTGATTAGATGTAGCTTGGCTTTTACTATTATGAGGGATATCTTTTGGTATGTTTTTTTTAATTTTTCAAAATACAATCTTATACAGCATGCCAACTGCTCAATGTTACACCCATCACTTGAAAATATTATCAGTCACTCCAGCGGTATATGACATTTGTGGACTCTTAGTTAGAGAACAATAACATTTTCCGAGAGAAAGTTTAAAGTCAGAACTTCACTTGGCCATCAACCTTCTTCTGGTGTTTTCTCTGAAGAAACTAAAGCTTCAGGAATGCCCATAGCCGAAAATGTGTCCATTGTTATATATATAAAAAGAAACACAGATTATATATATTTCACGATTGTAGATTAGTAAATTTCTTTAACACAGTTTAATTACAATATTTATCATTCCTCTATTTATTTTTAACAGCCAAAATCTGTACTACGGACCACAACCCAAACACGAAAACACACGAAATACAATCAAGAAGAAGAAAGAAAAAATTAACTTTTTGGCGTAAGATAAAACCAACTTTAAGATTTTTCATTAATGTTTAGAATTACCACAAAAATTGGTTTTATAGCAGTAATCCGGGATTTGAAGTTTTTGATAACACTAATGAGCGATAAAGCTTCAGCATAAAGTAGTCATTTACTGATAGAAATTGAATGCTAAGAAGCAAATCAGCGTTCTTGGACGTATATACTTGATATGAGACTTATGTCGACGTAAAGTTTCTGCCATATTACTATTATTTTGAGCCTCATGTCACAGAAATATTCGTTTAGCCTACTCACTTATCATGAGACAAATTTTCCAATAGCTAGTTTTATCCTAACTTTATTATTTAAAAGATTCAAGTTCAAACTTTCGTCTCTTATTAGAGACGAAGATAGAGAACAGTTACGTTTTTTGTGAGCTTTCACGAAGCATTTCTTTCATTCTACTTCAATCAGTACTGGCCTAGGTGTTATTCCCAAGTCCGATAACCAGTGAGAGCCATCTTGTACACGTGATACAATATTCCATCATTACTATATCATTCACTAATGTTTTCTTTGAGCTTATGTCCCATTTGTTAGATCGTTCTTCAGAAATAACGAGTTTTCTTTTTTTTTATGTTTTTATGAATACGGGTAAAACATTCTCAGCAAAAATAATTATTATTTGAAATCTTAAAACATATTCCGTTTTACCTTACCTATTTAAAACACTAGATACAGCACAGATGATGAGATTGATATATGACTATACATTCTTCTTTGTATTCACTCAGAAGTTCTTATTAATAATGATACAGTCCTACGAATTTAAACTTCATAAAAGCTGTTTTGGATTTAATAATGGATTATCCATAATTCAGCTACGCAGATTTCGGAAATAATATTCATTTTTTTCTATCACGGTAAGGATTTTTTTTTTTACAAATTGGGAAGAAAACAAAATTCTTACTTACATCAAATTTGCAACATATTTATCACAAACTTGTCAGAATATGTTTGGGTTATTTACAGAACCTCTTGTTGCTATAGCGACGAATAAATGATATTGAAAAGAAAAAATAATGTCAAAGTGCACGCACAAACAAATACTATCCAGAAATGACACCTCATGCGGCCTGTTAACCGTTTATATACTACCTGTCGTAGATTCTAGAACGACTCATAACATTCTCACGTCGCGATTTGTCTAGAGAAATCTATAGTCACTGGTTGTAAACATGTTAAGCATAACAAAATTTGACCCGATTTCAGTGAAAATTATTCACTTGTGTAAAAGTACATATGACGTTTTGTGAAAAATCTGTACGTGATGGAGAAAAATGGATATCATTTTCGGATTCAGCGTACAGAAATTACTGTAAACGTGTAAAAATTTCAAGACAATAAAACCACCGCAGGCCTGGGTTATTAATCTACTGTTCTCACGTTGACGCAGTTGTCTATTGACCAGCTCCGGGATCAATAAGACTAGCTCGCTGATTTGTCAGTTCTTCTGAATAATGAAAAGATTAACTCATGACGATAGTAATTAGTAATATATAGAATTAAAATAAATAATATTATAGTGTTCAAAACTCCCACCCCAATTCGCACGTGTAATGACATAAATAATATTAATAGTTGTTGTTCAAACAGTTTGCTAACATCGATTGATCTCAACCATTATTAGGTATGTGATACTTGAAGAGCCGTAGGATTGAGCGAAAGGCCTCGTCGGTACTGTGTATAGCAGATGTGATGTAGCTGATATAAAAAAAAACTTAGCCTAAAAATTCTAGTTTTTTATGACACATCATGTTTTCTATCATCTGTAAAATAGAATGAATATTTTATTCGTAATCTTTTTTTTTTAAAAAAAATGACATGTGCACTAAGGAAAAGAGCAACATAATATACAAAAACAGAATTAAAAAACTATTAGAAAATGCAGTCAAATAATTTAGCTAATCATTTATAGATTTCGATGAAGATTATTTGACCAGAAATTAATTCTCGACTGTTTTATTTTACCACCATTTTTTGAGAGAAAAAGGAATTACCTGTGTTATTTACAACTTTAGCCGCAAAGTTGTGTTTAAGCTAAAATGCGAATGAATGGCAGTGTTTGTACGTCAATTACAATTAATCATACTTTTAAGTTTTATTTCAAGTAAATTCTTAACCTTAGCAATATACGGAGATCATTGCCAAGGTGACCTTCAAACAGTTCGATGAAAGCTTTTAATAAATAAAGTGTGATAAAAAATCAAAATATTTAATCAAATATCTTATGAAAAATTCAACCAAAATGCACTAACTGTATAACCCCTTTTCCAAAGGACGAAACGTCTGCTAAGTTTCACGCGATCCTAATTTTCGCAATTCAGATAATCTAGTTCTAAACACCTTAACCTATATTACATATTTCACACATAACAGAAGCCTTAGGTGCTTCAAAGCTACGTACCATGTTGTTAACGTAGTACATAAGTTTGTCGAGACTTTGGTACCACTTCTCTGCAGCCTCATAATAGAAGTCCATTCCCATGGTAACCACCAGATGGTTCGTTGTGTAATGTGTCGCCTAAATACATGGAAACAAAACAATCTTTCTATAAGCAGTGATTAATTTCTTTCGGATCTCTCCGGATGAGATTTTTTTTCTATGTAAAAGCGGAATTACTCTAATTTTCATACTGTCTCGGTTGCATTGCAAGTGCTCCCTAGTTGCTCAGCGGTAAGTTTGCAGACTTACGACGCTAAATATTAGGTTTCAATACTCGTGGTGGCAGATCACACCTTATCTACTATGTAGCTTTGCGCTTAACAACAAACAAAAAAAAAGCATTCGAAGTTGATATTTAATTGAAATGGTCAACTACATTACTTTCTTCTAAGCACCATCCCGAATAGTAGCTGTAATAAACATTTCAATTGTTATCTTCGAAAACTCTAACTTTCCTCCTCTCCCACCCGCCAACAGAGATTGGTATATTGCTGTCTGCGCCGTGTTAAATATATATTTACTTTAAGAATGTTAAATTATAACTATAGGACATAATTATAAACCAATTGTTTGTTGTACAGATACGTGAATAAAAATCAATCAGTTACGGTAAAATACAAAGAAGTCGTTTAAAAAGCAATCGTTGATTTAAGTGATACCTGGTTAAATAAAATTGTTACTTAAAAGTAATAGGTCAGATATACACGTAAATCAATACTAAATTTAAGTAGAACTTCTAACAAAAAATGGTTGAAAAGATTTACAAGATTTCAAAGTTAGTATCAAAACTTAACAAGCGAGTGTGTTAGTACTGTTTTTTAATTAGTATCTAAAAAAATGCTTTCATCGCCACCCTTACCTGTGACATAATTGTATCTTTAAACTGGTATGCCTTCATTTTTCCATTCAGGTCCTACACAACACAAAATATTCTGATCAAATAACGACACTTAAACAGTTATATTTATGAGTCGTTTCATTGGTCTTAAAGTATTTCATTATAAGTATTATATGTCCCAGTCACATGTTTCGTGTTTCAATGGCCAAACTTGAAGGAGAAGTATTTGATACTATAGTACGTAAAACGAGCAAACCAGTTGATGGAAAAATCAAATTAAAAAATCCCATACTAGTTTCCCTACCTTAAAACGTATACTAAAGTTCAATGAGTGACACATCTGTGTGGGCTGATATTGCTTCAGAGTGTAGCTCTGTGCTGCTCTTAATACGAACTCTGTTTATATTACAATAAAAAAGTGAATACGGTTAGTGATGAGTCACAGTGAAAAATAGAAAGCCTTAAAACTTATTCTAATAAAATCGTTGATGCTGATTGTATTAAACATAATCTGTGAGTAAAGTATTTAAACAGCATGTTAGGATTACAAGCAAGAGGATATTAAAATCTAGCAGTTCGTAAAAAGCAAGCAAAAACTGCTAATAAATTACAAGTGGCATTTGCAGCATTTATCATAAAACTTCTCTCGTACAAAGTTTGCGCAACAGATGTCGCCTCATTCTCGAAGAATATCCTTAATTATGAACAAAAAATCTCGTGTGTATATGTGACTAAAGAGAGTGCGAAGAGGAGCAAACAAAAAGAATGACTAACTAGAGATTCGATTCATTTAAACCAGTCGTTTTACTTATCTATTCGAATCAAAGTTTTCTATATTTATTATCTGCATTACTTATGCAATAACAGTTAGAAAAAAATATTTTATCCTGAATGGATAAGGTTTACTAAACTAGTATATCTCAGAGTAACAAGACAGTATATTTTATGAATGGATTAGGTCTACTAAACTAGTATATCTCAGAGTAACAAGACAGTATATTTTACGAATGGATTAGGTCTACTAAACTAGTATATCTCAGAGTAACAAGACAGTATATTTTACGAATGGATTAGGTCTACTAAACTAGTATATCTCAGAGTAACAAGACAGTATATCTTATGAATGGCTTAGGTATACTAAACTAGTATATCCCAGAGTAACAAGACAGTATATTTTATGAATGGCTTAGGTCTACTAAACTAGTATATCTCAGAGTAACAAGACAGTATATTTTATGAATGGATTAAGTCTACTAAACTAGTATATCTCAGAGTGACAAGACAGTATGTTTTATACTAGATTGATCACACCAATCATTTCAAGATAGAGTAGCGTTTTGTATAATAGTTAGATTAGATAATATCTTGATAGGATAGTGTGTTCTACGGTAGTTTGATCAAATCACATCTTGAAATAAATAATGTGTTCTATAATAGCTATATTAAACTTTTTTTCATTTCAGTTATTGGATAGTTTGTTCTACACTAATAGATCAGATCACATCTAAAATGATTAAATATGGTGTTATTTACTAGTTAAATCAAATCACATCTAAAATGATTGAATGTGGTGTTCTATACTAGTTAGATCAAATCACATCTTCAACTGACTGAATAGTGTGTTATATTCTAATTATATCAAAATGCATCTTGAAATGACGTATTAGTGTGTTCTGTACTAGTTAAACCAAATCATACCTTAAGTAACCGAATATTGTATTTTATAATCGTCAAAAAAAAAATCACGTAATAAATTATTGAATATTATTCTCTATACTAGTTAGATTAGACCACATACTGATATGACTAAATGCGGTATTCTGTAATTTGCTTGATAAAAGAAAAAACTATTTTTTTACCGTGATTGGAGGATCTGCACATTTCACGTCAAAACAGAACCCTTTTGGAGGCCAGTAGACATTGGGTAAAACTCCAGTAAATAAGTAGCTTCGAGCACCCTCTAATCGATTAAAAATCAGCATAATTCAACGAGAGGTGTATAATCTATTGCTGGTCTATATAATCTTTCTGTATCATCTTATGATGCAAAAAAAGTGTAGTTAGTGATTTTTTGTATCAACAGGAAATAAGTAGTTTTTAAACATTGCATCAATATTACTGCACATGTTTTACAATTGCTATAGTTTCTTTAGGCATGTTTTAACCTAAACTGTTAATACAGCCTGGTAAGAGATCTTAAGGTTGGACCATCCTGAATGTAGAACTGCCTACCAGAATAGGAACAATCAAGTAGCAATATCCAACCAGCTTTTACACGGTCACTCTGAATTGAATAATAAAATTCACTTTCTCTCAACTCGCACACATCTACAAGTGTGAAACGTGTTCCACGGCATATTAAGGAGTCGAATGTGACCTTTTGTCCCGAAGGTCGTCACACTAACCACTAAACAAGGCCCAATCCACATTTTCTTTAACCATTTAAACTGTATCATTGTTTAATGTTAACCATATTCACACTAACCACTAAACAAGGCCCAATCCACATTTTCTTTAACCATTTAAACTGTATCATTGTTTAATGTTAACCATATTCACACTAACCACTAAACAAGGCCCAATCTACATTTTTCTTAACCATTTAAACTGTATCATTGTTCAATGTTAACCATATTCACGCTAACCTCTAAGCCAGGCTCGATCCACATTTTCTTTAACCATTTAAACTGTATCATTGTTTAATGTTAACCATATTCACACTAACCACTAAATAAGGTCCAATCCACATTTTCTATAACCATTTTAATTGTATAATTGTTTAACGTTAACTTTATTCACGCTAACCACTAAACAAGGCCTAATCCGCATTTTATTTAACCATTTAAATTGTATAATTGTTTAACGTTAACTTTATTCACATTTTTATTTAATCCGCATATCTCACAATCGTAGTTTTGTTGGATTTTTTATTTTTGCATAAGTGATAAGTAAAAATTATTTTGGTTACTGATTATTTCAACATTCGACATTATGTAAGAATTAGGTTTGTTTGTTCAGCAACCTATCAATTAATCTCACCCAAACTCTGGCTAACTTTCCATAGGAATTCCATTGTTTTTGTTGCTCTTCTGTTCTTGATATCTTGGTAATCAATTCTTCCAAGAAACAACCCATCAAAAAACATCTGTAATATTGAAGAAAGTAAAAATAGGTGAAATAGATTTGTCATTATAAAGCACCGAGTAGAAAAAAAATCACAAAATAAGAACGTGATGCGCTTTGGTTAAGACAGAAGTTGTACTTTTCGAAAGGGTTTCTTGATCTGTGCAGTATATTTTAGGATATAAAAATATTGCTAATGTTTTGAAAAGATTTATAATTTGACTGAATAGTAACAAACTGTAAATGTTATTTAACAGTGGGAAAATATTTGTAGTATAGTTAAGCAAAGTAAAAAATTAGTAAATATTATTAACGTTACAAAATATTTTTGTAATATAAATCAACATACGTGAAACGTATTTGTGAACATTGTTGATAAAAACTAAAACATTGGATCAATTTTTAACAATCTAAAGCATTAGTAATTTTGTGCAAAAGATCGAAAACGTGAATTTTTGCAAACTAACGAGGTGACAGTGGCGTTCTTTATATATCTATTACGTGTTCGTTGTCTTCTTCAAAACAAATAAATATCTTAATCAATAGTACGTAATCCTTTGCAACATGATTTATCAGAGAGTAAAAGTATCGTCGCTCATGTAATTAAAAACTTCTGTAAGAACAGTGGTGTAACACCTATAGTAGGATAAAACGGATTATTTACCTGCTTCACAATCGAAGCTTTAATTTCTTTCCTCTACCACGAGAAAGACAATAGAAATGATGCGAGTGATAACTGATAAGCTTTCTAAACTTTTCTGAACTTCGAAAAAAGTCTTTAATCGGGTAAACTGGAAAAAGCTATTTCACGTATTCATGAACGTTGGAGTATACTGGAGAGACAGATAACTGATATATGGACTAGATAGCGGCGATAAGAGCGTCAAATTAAGGGTTAGAATCTGGAATATGGGAAGAGGGGTGAGACAGGGGTGCTAAATATATCCGATAATTTGAAACACATATGCAGAGGTAATTATTATAGAAAAGCATGGACGGAATTGGAGAAAACGTAGAAAGTTAGGGGTCAGAGAGTGAGGTCCATCAAATTTACAAAAAACAAAGTTCTAGTAGCCAGTTCTTAGGAGAGCTTGCAGAAACTAGTGGAGGGGTTGAACGTGGTGGGAAACGATTTTGGAACACAAATGAATGTTCACAAAACAAAAATAATGAAATTGTTATGAAGGAACGGAGACGAGTTGAACATCACACTGACTAAAAAACAGCTGGAACAAATTACCCAGTTTAGATGTTTAGGAAATATTCTTACAAAGGATTATAAATGCGCAAAGATAAACAGCGCAAAGATTGCAATGAGGAAAGTGGCGTTTAGTAAAAGGAATGAGATGCTGACCACCAAAGACTCGTCAGTACTACGGCTTGATGTGTTATGTTGTATGGAGCAGACGCATGGGCACTGAGAAAAGAATACATTAGAATATCAGAGTTTTTAGGTGTGTTTTGGCTATAAATGAAAAAAAAAATACAACTGGAGAGAGAGAGAGGAGTAGATAGATATATTCCCTCAAGATGATGAAGAAAAAACTGATCCTTGATGGAGAAAATCTGGAAAACGCAAAATATATAGCTGGGACACCTTTTTCGCGGAGACTATTTGATGAATAAGATCCTAGATATGGAAGGATTAAAGAGAAACAACGTAGGGCATGAAATGAAAAGCACTGCTAGACGAACTGACATTTGGTGGGAGGAGGGGGCTCTATGGTTAAATGAAGAGGAGAGTCCAAAAGAGGGGGTTGGAAGACGAACTGTTGAACGAAAAGCCTGTGCCCTTGGGTAGATAACTCAATAATATCCACGAGAATACCTGTATATTCCACGTCTGACAAAAGAAACCTCTAATTATTTATCTGTTTCACAAGAAAATCTAATTCTCCTGTTTTACAACGAAATCCAATTTTCTCACCTGTTACATAAGAAATGCTTATTCTTTAGACGTTTATAAAAAATCTACTTGTTTCACAAAATAACCTAACCTTTTGCCTGTTCTTTAAGAAAATGCTGACTGTTGACGTGTTCCTAACACGATTTACCTGCTAAACAATAAAATAATAATAATTTCTGATTCGTTTCACAAGAAAATCGATTATTGTATTCTTTCACAGGAAGCTAATATCACTAATTACTTATCTTTTACACGAGAGAACGCTAATTTTTATGTGTTACAAAGGCAAATCCTGATTCTTAATCAGTTTCAGAAGTCAATTCACAAGAAAATCGATTATTGTAGTCTTTCACAGGAAGCTAATATCACTAATTACTTATCTTTTACACGAGAGAACGCTAATTTTTACGTGTTACAAAGGCTAATCCTGATTCTTAACCAGTTTCAGAAGTCAATTCACAAGAAAATCGATTATTGTATTCTTTCACAGGAAGCTAATATCACTAATTACTTATCTTTTAAACGAGAGAACGCTAATTTTTACGTGTTACAAAGGCAAATCCTGATTCTTAACCAGTTTCAGAAGTCAATTGACAAGAAAATCGATTATTGTATTCTTTCACAGGAAGCTAATATCACTAATTACTTATCTTTTACACGAGAGAACGCTAATTTTTACGTGTTACAAAGGCAAATCCTGATTCTTAACCAGTTTCAGAAGTCAATTCCAGATCTTTGAAAGTGAAATCAAAGAAGCTTATAACTAAGGATCCTCATTCTTAAATCTTTTATACAAGCAAATCCCTGGTTTTTATTACCTGTGACAACAGAGAAGCATGCTCCCGGGAATGCCCAAACGAGTCTATCTGCCATCCAACTCTAGGTAAAGCACACTGACCAAATGTATCATTTAGCCATCTCAAACCAAGAGTAATTTGGTCAATAATTCCTGAATAATGTGTTACAGCTTCATCATTCATTGTCCAGCCTCCCCCTGCAAATTCCAACTGCCCTACAAAATAAACCAAAAAAGGAGGAGGTAATTTTTTGAATATGCAGCCAAAATCCAACCACTGATTTTCGCTTCAAACTTTAAAAGAAAAATCATGTACACTTGTTATGACTTTTCTGTTTCATGCTATGATGCTGACAAAAATCAAACCTTGCCCGTGTTTATGCAAAAATGAAGAGGAAACCAAACAACTTTCATCTTTCACTAGAATTGGAAGGATTTACTTTTATAATTCATGAAGTACACAAAAAACATGAAAGTTTTTAAAAATTAAAGTGTGAAAAACATTAGCTGTTGACTGTTTATAGGCATTTAATACGCTGTAATGTATTTCTTGTGCTCCTCACAGAACATAGTAATATCAAGATAAAACATATCACGTTAAATCACAAAATTTTATTTCCCACCAGCCCTACAATTGTAACGAATTTGTTATTATATACTTATTTTAATACTAATGTTTGTTTGGATTAAATGTATATTTAGAAACATACGTGGCTTAAACTGTTAAATACGTATTGCAAAACTCCCCCCTATTCACTAAAGTTGTAGAAGACTCTCGAGAGTAAGAATCAACAATATGTATATGCGTGAGCGCTTGTGTTAGCGCCAGTATTGTTACGTAAAACTGAAATTTCTAGAAAACCTCCACACGCCTATAAATATAACCAATACGACGTGTCAAAAAAGAGAGTATCTATTATTAGTTTGCTATAGTCAATGCGCTATAAACTTTGGAAGCTATAACTGTGATTGTTATAACGCTTATCAATCGGAAAACTTCAAATATTTGACCAGGAGTATTTACAAAGTTCGAACATTACAAATCATTTAACTTCAGTGGATTCTCATAGGATATTAGTATTTTTTACGAAAACATTACATAACGTCACGGTGGAAAACCCGGTATGTGTGTGGCTGATAAATAACGAAGGATAAAGCTAGCTAGCTCCCTGTCAAGTGAATTATACCTACGTCAACTCGTAATCAACTCGCCCATCGTGAACCCTCGATAAGATATCGAAGTTCCAGACTAAAAGGAAGACTTTCTATTGCTTGTCAGTTTGTGAAACTGTTTATAAATCATTGTTTGTAATAACTATTTGTAATAACTGTTATTGTAAACTGTGTTGTTGTGTGTATATTAAAACGTATTTGTGTTTACAAAGAAAACTGTGTGTATAAATCTTGTTGGCAAATATCATAAACTGACTATATATCGGCTTTTACTAAACTACTAAATTTAAAGTATCATTTAGCTCGGTTTCAGACCATTCGAAATTATAATACGTAACACAATAAAAAGATGAAACATAGCATCAAAAATATTAACAGATATCACAAAACTATCTTATAGACTAAAAACAATGAATTGAAAATTTGTTTTAGAACCGAATGACAACAAGATAAAACATACATAACATGTAATAACCAAGTCCATCTCAGAGCCTAAAAACAACGAGATGAAGCATATACCACATGTACTAATAAAGCTCATCTCAGAGTCCAAAAACAACGAGATGAAACATATATTGCATGTGATGATAAGACTCGTTTCACAACCTAGCAACAACGAAAAATAATATAAATACATTTAATATTAATATATAGTTAGAGAGTCCATATATATTTATAAGCACACACACTCAAGGAGAAAAGGTAATGATCCCACAGATTAAAACAACCTAAAATATGAAAGCCAAGTTAAAATATTTCTACAAGATTTATTACACATATTTTTGTGTCAACATCGAAGTGTGTATTTACTCAACTGTGTCAGTAATCCAAAGGATTTAGGGTACATTATTTTTCATATACTATGCATAAAGTGGTAATATTGTAGCCCCAAAATTATTACCCTTTAAAAAATAATATCTAACTAAGCCAAGATTATTGTGTATGTTTTAGTCTTGATGTGAGTTGATTGTAGGTTTGTTTATTTGTTTTGAATTTCGGGCAAATCTACACGAGGGCTATCTGCTCTAGCCGTCCCTAATTTAGCAGTGTAAGACTAGAGGGAAAGCAGCTTGTCATCACTACCAACCGCCAACTCTTCGGCTACTGTTTTACCAAAGAATAGTGGGATTGACCGTCACAGTATAACGTCCCCACGGCTGAAAAGGCGAGCATGTTTGGTGGGACGGGGATTCGAACCCGAGACTCTCAGAGTACGAGTCGAGGGCCCTAACCACCTGGCCATGCCGGGCAGGTTGTAAGAGAGATGTGTGGTTACACGTGATATACGTTTTGTTACTAAGTAAGAACAGTATTAAAAATTAGTTGTATTCACAGTTGTGTTAATTTTTAGTTCTGATTTATGTTGGTGGCTTGTTTTGATCACAGTTTAATGTTAATAAGATCTAAAACGAACTATATAACTGCACGTGATTTACGCTTTGTTACTAATTAAGTTCCAAAAAATTGTATCGATTTGATGTTGTTAAAAACCAGTTGATTAAAAACAGCTTTAAGGGTTAGCAGATTTAACAATATTGTCACCCTTATATCCAAGAAGCTTGGGATGTGATCTTTGAAATCCATGTAGACCTTTTTTTAAATTATACATTTCAGTTTAGTTTGTTATTCCATCTTGTTTTTAAGTAAACGAAATTTTTGTTGCCCAACATCAATTTATATAGAGAATACTGTTTATTCAGTAGTTTTAAAACCATGTGCCTGTTTGCATAATTCAATTTTCTTCTGTAAACTTTTACTGTAATTATTAAGAGTTTGAAAAAAATCGATCAGTTGTGAGTTTGCATCTTACGTTTTCTGCGTGTGTTGTATATTATGCTGAGGAAATAAAAACGCTCAGGTGCCAAATAAGGCTCATTTATAGCTTTGGTGTTCGTTATTATATAGTATACAACTTTGCTTGTACCAATATTCCTACTGAAACATAAAATTCAAATCAAATATTTCTAGGAAGGAGTCGGAAACCGCCTGGGATCAGCCATAATTTCGAAGAACGACTATAGACAGAATAAAACTTGGTTTCGGTTTCTTCATCCTTATTGATTTTCGCCTCAATTATAGGTTACTGGAGTTTTTGGTGTGCACGTACATATTTATACATAACCTCAAACTCTTGTTTATATTCCTTTTCTTACCTTCTTGTCAACTTGGGATGCATCCATACAGTTAGCACCGAGATTACCACTACTAAGAAACTCAACACCAGAAAACACCTTAACACAGAGCGAGTAAACCTCTCCACTTCAGAATATTTCGCCAATGCCAGTGATTCGGTTCATTTTAGGAATCAACTACACAACTTTTACATTGCAATTTGGTTACTAATAATAAAATATACAAAACATAGCTATGTTTTTTTTTTGTTTTTCATAAATTATCTCGATATAACGGCGGTTACTTTATGAACAGCTGTTACTTCATAAACTATATTGGTCGAACAATGGTTACATAAAAAGTATATTGGTCTAACTATGTTGGCCTAGTAACATTTATTACTTTACAAATGATGGTGCCCCCAGTAGCACAGCGGTATGTCTGCGGACTTAAAACGCTAGAATCCTGGTTTCGATACCCGTGGTTGGCAAAGCACAGCTAGCCCATTATGTAGATGTGTGCTTAATTACAAACAAACAAGCAAACGATGGTGGTCTAACAAGAATCAATAACTTTGTAAATTATGTTGGTCCAACAACAGCTACTTCATAAATCATATTGGTCTAATATCAGTTACTGCTTTAAAGACTATGGTGATCTAACACAAATTACTTTATTAATTATATATTGGTCTAACAACGGTTACTTTATAAACTACGTTGAACAAACAATGGTTACTTTTTTGCAAGGCTATAACTATTTTATTATTTTAATACAATCGTTTCACAAAACCGAATAATAAATAAAGTTTTAAACAATTTCCTGTTTTAAACATTTTGTCTATAGACTGATGATTTAAAAAAGGTATATAATAGGTTCCTGAAAATCGATTATTTTTTAAAGTGATCTGAGATATTGGTTTGAAATACTATAATTCTTTCATGACTTAATTAAAACTTATTCACTAACAATAATTATTTAAAAAAAATTATTTATGTAGGTTGATTGCTTCATATCTAAATTAATTAGCAACAATACTTTTAAACTACAAAGTAGCTATTAATGTAAGATCATGCGCAGAAGAGGTATTTGAAATACTTCTCTATCATTCACTAAACTCCCTAAACTGGTGGATATAAGTCTTGAATAAACGTATTGCTTCGAAGTTTAGTTAAATACATATAGCAGATATCAGTCTTAGAATAATCATTTAATTAAAACCAACTCAGAAAACTCTAATCAGTAGTCTCTCTTGGTGATCATCCAATGAAGAGCTTTTTTGGGACGTGCATTTTTTTGGTAGTATAAAGGGAGAAAGTTGTGCTACTGTGTCAATTGTTTTTAACATGCCTCTGAAAGATCATTCTGTGAAAAAGGTCGAGCTAAAAGGAGATTATACTCTCGACAACAGAGTTCAAAAATGCTGCTCAGCATCACATCTTTCTGGACGATTTCTTAGAACGCAAATATGGAAGAGATTTGGTGCAGATTTTATCTTGAAAAATATTGCTACTAAGAGTTAAGAACTTTTGTTTGGATGGAGTTAAAATAAGAACAGCTAAGTTATGAAATGAGAAAGCGAACATTAAATATCTTTTAGTATGCACTATTGCTAAAATAAACTCTGTCAACTGATTGTAACAAAAAGGGAAGTGCCTTGTGATGAAAACATGTGATATCATTTCAGGAAATACGGAGCAAAAAATAGCAGCCATCAAGTACTTTGTTAACTATTATTAGGTATTTCTAATTGCATTGGTATATATAAATTACCAGAGTGTAGAATACATTTTTATCTCATACTCTCGTGGGAAGGCTATTTACCATTATAATGCCCTATACAGTTTAACCAATCATGCTTTGATAAATGTTTTTACGTTAATAGTTTTGGTTACTACACAATACAGTGACACATAATTGATACTACGGCACTACCAAAATCAAAAACATTTTGTTATCCAATATTTCATTTTGGTAGGAAGAAGCAGGCTTTAATTCAAAATATTTTGCATTATGTAACTTTATTTGGAACAATAATCAAGTTAGAACCACACGTATTATCTTTTGAACCTATATTAGAATCAAACTACAAATTACAACCTTTAGTATTCAATTCTGTATCTTTATTAGAAGCAGACTACAAATTACAACCTTTAGTATTCAATTCTGTATCTTTATTAGAAGCAGACTACAAATTACAACCTTTAGTATTCAATTCTGTATCTTTATTAGAAGCAGACTACAAATTACAGCCTTTAGTATTCAATTCTGTATCTTTATTAGAAGCAGCTTTCAAGCTAGAAAGTTTTTTTTTTAATTTCGCCCAAAGCTACACGAGGGCTATCTGTGCTAGCCGTCCCTAATTTAGCAGTGTAAGACCAGAGAGAAGGCAGCTAGTCATCACCACCCACCGCCAACTCTTGGGCTACTCTTTTACCAACGAATAGTGGTATTTACCGTCACATTTGGTGTGACGGGGATTCGAACCCGCGACCCTCAAATTGCGAGTCGAACGCCCTAACCACCTGGCCATGCCGGGCCTAGCTAGAAAGGTTCATATTCACTTCTGTATCATTTTAAAAGTTGTCTTTAAGTTTTATTATAACCGTTAGTGCTCACTTCTGTAACTTTATTAAATAGCTTTTGCATTACAAGTGTTCGTATTCACTTTTGTAAATTTGTAAAGCAGTCTTTTCGCTGAAGCCGTTCGTATAAGTTCCAGTGAAACTTTGAAAAACAATGGAAAAATTGTGCAATAAAAATATTCTACGGTGAAGAAGTTATACGTGCTTTAAGACAAAAGGCTTAACACTCAACTTAGCACAACGAACCAAAAAGAAACGAAAAGTAAAATACGACATTGGAAAATTATTTAACTTTCAACTCACCTGAATTCACAAGTGTTCTAACAATCTCTTGAATCTCAAGAGTTTGGTGTTGCCACCATCGCCAGAAAAAGGCGGTTTCGACATAGGTGAATCTTCTGTTTGGATCTTTCTGAAGACTCTGGACTACTGATGAAATAATCCTTTTGACGGCTACCAACGACAAGTACCATAAGTTTTATTTTTCGTTTATTCTTTGTTCTAATATTCGTATATGAATGCTTCAACGTTAATTCTTTTAGTAGGATCGTAGCCAGACATATTTACAAACACATATAAAAATATTATGAAATAATTCTACTTAATTTCGACAATTATTTCTGAAATCAAATAATGTTGAATTTCTTCTCAAGTCATATATTTCAAAGCACGTCATTACTTTTAATCTAAATAAAATTAACATTTTAGTAACTATTTAACAAAAGATGTTTAAAATGTTCAAACTGTAAACAAGATATTAATATGAACCTCCGTAATATCTGTCAGTGAAGGGAAATAGAGGAGACAAACTGTTTTCATATTGGTGAACCCGGGATTTGTATAAAACCAACAGTCTCGAGGCGATCATTCTCTCTTGCCTAGCGCGAGCCCTTAGGCAGGATTAAGTTTTTAAAAAGTTGTTGAGAATTTTCTTGGGTTTAATCTTCGTACTTGAATTTGGATGTTTCGTCATTAATCCGTTTGGTAGGTTTGTTTGTAAATATGCACAAAGCTACACAATGGGCTCTCTGTGCTCTGCCCACCACGGGTATCGAAACCCGGTTTTTAGCGTTCTAAGTCCCCAGACATACCGCTGTGCCACTGGGGGGGGGGGGGCGTTTGGTAGGATCGTACGTATTTAGATAGTGGGGTGACTTCTTTCAGTAAAATTTTTGCATCATAAATTATCAACTGGTATTTTGCGAAAAAATGAAACTTCCTTTTCCAGTATATTTCTGTTAACACCAAACTGATAATAAAATAGGGCCAATATGGGTCATTGGTCCTCCCAAGTCCCGTAAGTGATTGTTTTGTTTCGTTGACAGTATTTTATTGTTGTCTGTTATCAAACTGGTCACCGTTATTCAAAATTATTTAGGAATTATAATAAACTTCTCAATACTAGTGTTGTTGTTGTTGTTTTTGAATTTCGTGCAAAGCTACACGAGGGCTATCTGCGCTAGCCGTCCCTAATTTAGCAGTGTAAAGCTAGAGGGAAGGCAGCTAGTCATCACCACCCACCGCCGCCAACTCTTGGGCTACTCTTTTACCAACGAATAGTGGGATTGACCGTCACATTATAACGCCCCAACGGCTGAAAGGGCGAGCATGTTTGGTGTGACGGGGATTCGAACCCGAGACCCTCAGATTGCGAGTCGAGTGCCTTAACCACCTGGCCATGCCGGGCCAGCTCAATACTAGTGAGGGACAGAAATGTATTATGCATTACTTCCAAGCAACTTACACAACTGGTAGTACTGGTCAATAGTCTGAAGCCATCCAACGTCGTTGTGTGTATGGCACACCACGTGCACATTTATATAGCCCGGCTTTTCTTCTGGGCAAGACTATAGAAATAGAGATAAAAATCACGTTTGAGGCATCAACCGTACAGACATTGTTTTACGTTTATTTATTAATAAAAATATAGATGATAAAATAAATGAATATATAAAGTAAACAAGTATTAAACGATCAGAAAGAAACACAAAATGCTGTAATATTTCACATCATCTTATTTGAAACTAAACCTCAAAATTCGTTCAATGATACTATTATAATATAAACTGAGATGCTATTAATTATTCTAAGGAAGTTAGCAAACTTCATGGTCTAAATTTAGTGAGGAAGTTTGAGGTTTTTATTGCTACTATAAATCCAAACATTTTACTTGAAATGACATATATATATATACATAGATATGACAAGTATCTCGACTACAGCGCGTATACAACTCGGTATTGACGCCACTAGTGTCTGGAAAGAATCTGCTTCGATCTTTACCCATTCCTCTATAAAGATCGTCTTCAATCCAGGTAGAGTTGACGGTAATCGATCCTTGATGTGATTCACATCATGTGACCGTGAAGGGCTTAGATACGTGTTGGAAGTCGGTATCGTGCTAAGTCACGAACAAATATGATGCTATAGCTGGTGGAATTATTGTCTGGCAGTGATCAGCTCAATTTGGATAAAAGTACAGCATTGTGGGGTTTACCTGATCTGATAGGGTGGTCAAATATTCCCAGCAAAAACATTACAATTCAGAGAAACAAGGGGATTTAGTCCCTGCCATGTAAAGTGAGTTTCATCCCGTTATGTCGCATCCACATCCTTATTGCGTAGTTTCCCATCTTGTTACACCCACCCAGAGATAACAATAATGACCAATCACCCTGATATTACTACCTGATATGAATAAGCTTTAAAATGGATATTACACATGTGGTTGCAATACATAAGAATTACGTTTCGTAAATACTTTTCAAGTTTCATAATAAAAATATTTTCCTTACAAAACGTATCATTTATAAACTTCATAGTTGTTATTTTTTTAATTCGAGCGATGCTTAAAATTTTATTCGTATGGCCTTGTACATTAGAAACAATGATAGATGGGTCCATGACATCACTGAGGTACCGATAAAACCCTAACTTTACCATCATGGCAGAACACATATCCATCGGGCAACAAACCCAATCCCGATGTTATAAACATCACTGAAGAACTTTTATTCGATTGTTGACAAAAATATTGGTATATTTAAGAGGAAACATTTTACTTAAAGTAATTTCATGCAGTTCCCTATGCATTCCTCGAGTAGAAATAAATGATTCTGGACCATTATTGAAGATGCCCATCAATTCACGCACAGTTAAACATCAACTAGCCTGAACAATCCTATATAATTGTCGCCTATACCTCTTTATTAGCTTTCCTCTTCTGACCACAATTTCTCTAATTAGACGACGCTTTTAAATCTGATAACCATACATTATACACTCCGGACACGTGACTTTTGATTTGCCAATCAGTTTGACCGTCCTCACAATTGAAACACCCACCAGTCGAGCCTCAACAATAACACTTCGATCGAAGCTTGATAATTTTTTTAATTTATTTCCAATATAACGATAATTGATACTCGTATACTTTATTTTAAGTATTAATTGACCCCTAGTGGTTTTACTTCTCTGAGATGTGAACACATACTTTTTACAAACACGAAGTGAGGGCTGGTCGGTTCTTTAGGTAGGGGTTTCTAATATATGCATCAGTGACTATATTTATGTGTATGTGTGAGTTTGAATGAAAATCCAACATTATACCATATGTGAAACTTCTATCCAAGTTTAATGGAACTGATGTTTTAAAACAATTCTACAAGTTTATTAATATGAAAAATTCAAGATACAACATTGAAATTCTGCATGGCGCTTTTTTATTATAGCCTCCGAGCTGTTAGATTATTGTCGCTAACAACTACAGGAATTACAAAAAAAATACACTGTACCTCTTACTTTGTTACTGCTAATATACGTTTTGATCTTACTTGATATCCACAGGTAGTATTCTGTGAACTAGGGGCTGTTGCACCCACGTCGAAGATAACCAACATTACATAGAATAAAAGAGCTAGATGTCTGCACTGCCACATCCTTATTGCGTAGTTTCCCATCTTGTTACACCTACCCAGAGATAACAATAATGACCAATCACCCTAAGATTACAACCTGATATGGATAAGCGTTAAAATGGACAATTATATATGTAGCTACAATACTTAAGAATAACGTTTCGTAAATATTTTTCAAGTTTCATAATAAAGATATTTTCCTTACAAAACGTATCATCTAATTCGAGTGATGCTTAAAATTGTATTCGCATTAATATCGTAATAGAATAAGAATACAACTTGTTTCAAAACAACTATTTGTCCGGAAAAAAAAAAAGCTATGACAAATGGAAAAATACCATTATATAAAATTATGTCAAGCACTCATTTATTACTTTGCAAAACAGAATGTTTTTATCAATCATGTGATGTCAAATGCAAATGATTGGGAATTCAGGTTATACTGTTTATACAGCAGTCTAGTTTATACAGCCAGGTGGTTAGGGCGCTCGACTTGCAAACTGAGAGTCGCGGGTTCGAATCCCCGTCACACCAAACATGCTCGCCGTGGGGGCGTTATAATGTGACGGTCAATCCAACTATTCGTTGGTAAAAGAGTAGCCCAAGAGTGGGTGGTGATGACTAGCTGCCTTCCCTCTAGTCTTACACTGCTAAATTAGGGACGCTAGCGCAGATGGCCCTCGTGTAGCTTTGCGCGAAATTAAAAAACAAAACAAAAAACTTTTAATATAGTAACACAATATGCCTAAAAAGAAAATAGGATATAAAATAATTATACATTTAAGTCTAATAATAATAATATCAATAAATAATAGTTAATTAGACTCCGGTTATCACACGGACTACTTAATCACGAAAACAAAAACAAATCCCTGATTTTAACCTCACAGTATTACGTGTAACATGACATTTTTGCTCTAACCTGTATTTGTTGAACTTAAAGTTAAACTAACCCGAAGTCCTAATGACCTCAGTTTCAGAGTGGCACTGTTAAAAGAAAACAAATTGATTTTATTTCTTACATTTCGACTGTGATTCACTTGTTAAGCATTTTTGTGCACGTGATCTTCAGTTATGTGCTTATCTAAGCTCCTGATCTGTACAATGTTTACATCATAAGACAAGTACCAAATATTCCAAATGGTTTCTACATTTCAGATGGTTTTTAGATTAATCACGCTAGAGGAAAAAATGAGCAATCAAACACTGAACTTTATAAAAATAATCATAACTCTGTTAACGTAAAAAAATGTTAAAAGTCATAACATTGTTAAAATTAAACAAGGGAAAATAGTCTTAAAATTGTTAAACAATAAACAAGAAACAGACACAACACTGTCATATGTTAAACCGTGAAATGTAATCACTACACTATCAAACATTTTACTGTGAAAACAGCGAAAAGAAAGACAAATGTAAAATTCTGCTAGAACAGCCAAAACACTGTCATATGTTAAACCGTGAAATGTAATCACTACACTATCAAACATTTTACTGTGAAAACAGCGAAAAGAAAGACAAATGTAAAATTCTGCTAGAACAGCCAAAACACTGTCATATGTTAAACCGTGAAATGTAATCACTACACTATCAAACATTTTACTGTGAAAACAGCGAAAAGAAAGACAAATGTAAAATTCTGCTAGAACAGCCAAAACACTGTCAAATGTTAAACCGTGAAATGTAATCACTACACTATCAAACATTTTACTGTGAAGCCAGTAAAAATGAAGACAAATGTGAAATTCCGCTAGAACAGCCAAAACACTGTCAAATTTAAACTATGAAAATATTCTACGTGCTGAGAAAGTTTGAACATTGTCACAATATTTACATAAACTATTTACAAGTCACAGGATCATGTTCCATACTGCTGCCTATCGACTTTTACATAAGCTGTTCACAATAATAGTATCTTCATACAACCTTTTACGTATCATCATCTTCATAAATTATTATATGCTAGTTATAATCACAACACCTTGTTACGACTTGCCACGCATCATCCTACGCATAACTTAATTACTGTTACACGATGTAGTAATCTATACATCAATTCTTGTATAAACTGTTTACATCACATGAATACATGCTAAGCTATGCACACTCTCTTGTTAATAAGTGAAGCGCTCTTCTTGGGTCATTTTTAGAGAAGCTCTCTTGCAACTTGCGTTGTTACTCTAGCTACAACTCATATCCAACCAGTGAACCCAATAGTCTCCCAGCAGTTACTATATTCTCGTCTTTTAGATCGTGACGAACGTTTGTTATCGCCAAGCTATTTTTGCTCAGATGGCGGAGAGAAAGATTAAAGACTGTGAAAAAAAGGGAGACCAGGTTAGCAATACGTTCTATAAACTTCAACTATTTTAATAACATTAATAAGCTTGTTTTATTTGGAAGCTCATTCTTCTAGGAAATGTAATACGTTTCTGTTAACCACACGGCATTTACGTCAAAGTAATAATTAGATACAGTTGACATCCATGCAGTATTTCAATTAACTAAAAACTACATATTTACTAACATATATGCTGTTACTATGGGTACAATAATATTTGTTTGTTAATTATGATGCAACTTCACTCACATGTATATGTAGTTTTTGTAGTTTGCTCGTACGTGCACAGTTTTTATGTATATCATAATACCATGTTGTTGTTGATATAAATTAAAACCTAAAAATAAAACTCTTGAAAACTCGATAAAAATAGATTCTATTAGGATCAGGAATTATTTTTTTCTTAAATTTAATTATGTTATTTGATAATGAAGTTGCTTTTCAATAATTTGTATAAACAATAAAACATTTTGATAATCGCTATTTTATTTTGCGCTTATAATGCTAAATTCATGTTGAGTTCCAACGTTCTAAAAATGAACTGAAAATGGTCACATTATCACAAGATAGGTACAAGCAGCGAAAATATCATCTATGTTTCAGCTTTTGTTTGAATTTCAGTCGTTTTCTGTACTTCCCAATTAAAGATTATTAACTAGGGAGCTATTAGATACAAATTATTTACAAAAGGGTGTTTGGAAAGTATTTAACACATTTATAAACGTATATTTTTAGCTTCTACATGCGTTAACATAATTTCCGGACACTCTATACATAACTGTTGGACTTCATTTTGTTGTTGTTGTATCCCTTTTATCCCTACCGAAAGTTATCAGACAAACAAGTTACAAACACAAGTTTCTGTTCAGTCATTTTTCCTTTGTGTCATTTTTTATTTTATCCAAAACTGTCAGACAGATAGTCAATAAATACCCACACACCATCAAATGGCGCTTGATCTTTAACTCAGCCTCTTTCCTTCCTTTCTTTTGCTGAAGAACATCATAGGACTTAATAAGACATATACGTCTTTTGTATAAGTATGTTACATTAGTATGAAAGTACGTTTGATCCAAAACAATTCCAAGTACTCATAACCATGAGATCAACAAGACCTCTTCATCACATCATCCATGAGATTAACAAAACCTCTACATTACATCAACCATGAGATCAACAAGACCTCTACATCACATCAACCAAGAGATCAACAAGACCTTCATCACATCACCCATGATATCAAAAAGACCTCTTCATCACATCATCCATGAGATTAACAAAACCTCTATATCACAACAACCATGAGATCAACAAAACCTCTACATCACATCAATCAAGAGATCAACAAGACCTTCATCACATCACCCATGATATCAAAAAGACCTCTACATCACATCATCCATGAGATTAACAAACCCTCTATATCACAACAACCATGAGATCAACAAAACCTCTACATCACATCAACCAAGAGATCAACAAGACCTTCATCACATCACCCATGATATCAAAAAGACCTCTACATCGCATCATCCATGAGATTAACAAAACCTCTATATCACAACAACCATGAGATCAACAAGACCTTCATCACCACCCATGATATCAAAAAGACCTCTACATCACATCATTTATGCGATCAGCAAGACCTCTACATCACATCAACCATGAGATCAACAAGACCTCTTCATCGCATCATCCATGAGATTAACAAAACCTCTATATCACATCAACCATGAGATCAACAAGACCTTCATCACATCCCCCATGATATCAAAAAGACCTCTACATCACATCATCCATGAGACCAACAAGACCTCTACATCACATCACCCATGATATCAACAAGACCTCTTCATCACATAATCTATGAGATCAACTAGTCCTCTACATCATATCAACCATGATATTAACAAGGCTTCTACTTTAAGATAACTAAGTAGAATAATGTTTCAAATAACAAGGATGCTTGTACATACCTCTGTAAATAATGTTTCGTGTCCTCAGTTCCTTTTAGCATTCACATTAAAATAACACTACTCGTGCTTCAGTTAAACTGTAGTTTAAAGAATAAATTCAACTGCGCAGCACCTATTTGTTACACCTTCTGCTCTCTCTCTTCCTGGCTTCAGGTGCCCTTTGACCAGTGTGCATTCCCGTGTACGAAAAAACTGTGACATTAACTCAGCTATAGTGCAGTTCCGTTAAGTTGCGCACATCCAAACAACGCTCATATTACATTCAACGCTACGTCATAGATACAGTACCAGGACAGAGTTACGCTTCCAAATATGCGTTACAACGGTACATATATTTAGCGTGTGCGTATCTATTTGTAACTATTTATCAGCGATAACATTTCATTTTAATGTATGACACATGAACTATAAAACTATTTATCGTTTAGTCATGTCAGACGTTCATATTTCGATAACGTTTTATTATGCCGTATAAAATGAATCTATCATTTTGCTGTCACCATCTTGTGATCCTTTCCATTTTAATCTCGAAAATGTACACAGTTTAAGTTTCTGAGACAACTGTTCGGAGTCATATTTTAAAAGGAAAAACAGAAGAAAGCTTGTCACATTAAATGAGTATACATTATATCAGATCTACAATATTATGACAAAGAAAGTTAAACAAAACTAACATCTGATCTCAACTTACGGACGAAGTTTTAAGAAACAGTGTTATTCAAGCAATCAGTATCGTTAGAATGTTTTAACGCATTGATGATCCAAAAGCGGAAATTCGTAAAGTCACGTGCTGACCTAGGTCATACACTACATTCTAACGTTACGAGAAGCTCCAAGCCATTCAGACTACAGTACATGTTGAATTTGTTGATGTAAATACATTTAAAAAGTGAACCCACTATACTTATATTTTATAAATATGTGACATAGCCAGGCTGTAATCATTACTTGAATTGATTTTTATACATTATAAAATTTGACCACTTTCACAAACGAGTGTCTTTCTCCGATTTAAGTTGCATTCTAATGTAACAATGTTATCATTTATCAAAATATAGGGGTGTTTCCGATAAGAAGTACAATATCTAATGGCTTATAGTATTTACACGTATATATAAAATTAAAAAAACTGGGACTCCTGGTATATACTAGTAAATTGAGTTTTTAACATGTCTCTTTCCACAACCGGGTGACTTTCATGGCATGAAAGTTGTCCGCACATGAACAAAAAGTCCTTGAAAGGCCCACCCTGCTTGAAAGGGGAATTTATATTTTCTTTAGTTTTTGTATGAACTCTTTCATAACCCTTACGTGACCTTCAGTATTCTCACTTACTAAAGAATACTTCTGCACAGGAAGATTTAAGTACTTGCGAAAAATCTATGATGATCGGTTATAAATCTATATCATAATTATTGACCTATACGATCGCCATAGTCTGATTACTAAATAGGTACTAATTTTATTATTATTAATAAATTACAATTACTAATTAGTTTCTACCTTACATTTCGTCTACTAATCTGCTGCCGTCTTCAGGAAAATCCTGGTACTTTATATGAAGGGAGGAGCTGAGACTCGACCGTGGGTCTTCTTATTTGAACGACTGGTGTACTATCTGCTCATCCGGGTTCTTACCCCTATACTATGGAACATGAACCAGCTAATTATTTGAATGATTTCAAGTTTACTATCCAAGTTTTCTTGCTAAGTTGGTTGAACGTGTTTTCAGTTAGTTTGGTGCTTCTTTTGTCTTTTGGCCCGACATGGCCAGGCGGTTAGGGCGCTTGACTCGCAATCTGAGGGTTGCGGATTCGAATCCCCGTCCCACCAGACATGTCCGCCCTTTCAGTCGCGGGGGCGTTATAATGTGACGGCAATCCTACTATTCATTGGTAAAAGAGTAGCCCTGGTTGTGATGACTATTTATATGTCTTGGTAACTATCACATCTAGAAGATAAATTTATTATATATTTTTAAACAATTAAAGAAAAACTAATTAAGATTATACACAGTTAAAGTTCATTTTCAAGCCTACTTTCCGCTTAAAGGAATTACTTCCTCACAAAGACAGGCAATTCAATATGAACCTTGCACATAGAGGTCTTGTGATATAGATGTACATTAGTAAGATTAAATGACTTCTTGCTGTGTGTGACAGTAATCATCGAGAGTTTCTGTCACAGCCGTATCCAAAAAAGTCAAGTATTTACACATTCACACTCACCTCAGCTGTGTTGGCGTTGTATTGTTACGGTCAATCCCACTATGTGTGGATAAAAGAATAGTCCAATCGTTGACGGACTGTGGTGTTGACTAGCTGCTTTCCTCCAAATCTATAACCTCTAAATTAGAGACAGCTAGCGCAGATATCCCTCGAGAACCTACCATTCACAACACCACTAGCTCTCTTAAATCCTGGTAATGAATAAACATCGACCAAATCTCAATAACACCGCCAGGTCCTACCCTATCAATCAATAAACATCGACCAAATCTTAACAACACCGCCAGGTCCTACCCTATCATTCAATAAAAATCGACCAAATCTTAACAACACCGCCAGGTCCTACTTTATCAATCAATAAACATCGACCAAATCTTAACAACACAGCCAGATCCTTTCAACCCTATCAATCAATAAACATCGACCAAATCTCAATAACACCGCCAGGTTCTACCCTGTCAATCAATAAACACCGACCAAATCTTAACAACACAGCCAGGTCCTTTCAGCCCTATCAATCAATAAACATCGACCAGATCTCAACAACACAGCCAGGTCATACCCTATCAATCAATAAACATCGACCTACTCTCAACAACACCACCAGGTCTTTTTTATCCTTCTGATCAGTAAACAACGCTGTACTCTCAACAACACCCCCAGCCCTTTTCAGCCTTATCAATGAATAACATCAACCTACACTCAATAGCACCGACAGGTCCTTTCAAATCTGCTGATCAAGAAACATCAACCTACCATCAACTTGTTAATTTCTTTCCAATTTTTCCATTAATTGCTTTTTATTTATTTATTTTTGCTATTGTATAATACCCGTTGTTTTTTGGTAACTTATTTGTCCTTGTTTTGCTTTGCTTTTTTTTTTCGCTTTCTCCAAAGTGCAATGACTTTTACAATAAATCACTGAAGATGGATTAAATGTAAACTGAAACACCTGGAATAAAATATTGTTTGTTAGTACTGTCTTATTCACCTTCTTAAGGAATTAAGTGAAAACAAAAAATAAATATTTTTATCTGAGAGATAATTAATTAAACATCTAAAACATGGTTATATTAGATTTTCAAGAAACCACACAAATATGTTCAGTTTGATATAAGTAATACTTGAAACCGTCGGTACTTGATGAAACTATTTAATTGCAGAATTAAGGGAGACAAAGACAATTTTTCGTTTCATAAGTAATCCATATATTGCTGACATGGTTTTGCCAGTTCCTGACGATGCCTTTACTGGCAAAACCATGTTAGTGATAAACGAAATATTTGTGAAACGTACAATCATACATGCGGGTTTATTAATTTCCAAGACATTACAGAAATATGTATATATATATATATATATATTACTTTATTATATTTCTCCAAAACTACACAAATATATCGTGTGTTTTTCTTTTGTTTTCCTTCGTTTTCACAGTTGTATTAGAGTTCCAAGCTATTACACACGTGTACACTGTTTTATTAGCTTTCCAAGCTATTACACACGTGTATGCTGTTTTATTAGCTTTTCAGGGAATCTTACAGGTAGTAAAACTTATTTTTTATTTTTAAAAGACTAAAGAAGTATTTTTTTAAGTTTTTCAAGAAATTCACTATACCAGAACCTTAGGTGTCATTGACCTGGCCGTTTAGCTCGTAAGATGCTATTCGTTACTTCATTTTCATTAAATTTAAAGAAATTGTCTAAATTTTACTAGATGTACAAACCATATACAAAAATACAAAGATATTACATTTGAAAGTAACTTCATAAAATACTTTTTTGTTTTTTAAATATCCAAGGAACTGCAGACACATATAAGTAGTACGAGGTCTAATTTGATTTCCAAGGAGTCGCCTTAGTGATCTTCGACATCTTAGTATGTCACTTGAGGATATTAGTGTCGTAGAGTTCTACAAGACAGATGATAGTTTCACATGCTGTCTTCAGAGGAGTTGTTAATATTGCTGACATTCAACCTCCTTCACACAGTGTTAATTTGATTATTAGAGTTTTGAATAAAATCAATTTCATTGAACAAACTGTTTACATTATTTGTATTTCATCAAAATGTGACATTATTGGTGGGGGTGAATACTTTTGCAAGGTACTGTATATATCCTACACGAAACTTTTTTACGAAAAACTGAAGTCAACAATATCGTTTTTGCTATCTACTATCTGTACAACATTATGAGATTCCATTTAAGCTATAAACACAAACACTGGGCCTTTTTTATGCTAGCTAGCCTGTTGAGACATCTGGTCAGTATAACTTTTGTTCTCAGACATAAGCAACACATGCCATATGTTCAAAATTTACAAAACTGTGATTTTCCAGAAGATTCTTTTAATGTAAAATATATAGACTTCTTCACAAAATTTCTCCTACAAATAGAAGCACTACTCGTTCATTTTTAAACGCTTCGCACTGATGTTAAAACAAAGGTTGAGTACGTTACATTAAAACGAGTTTAGAGCCTTACCACGTCGTTACTCCATGTCGCTTCGTCTTGACATGCTCTATTTCACGGCCATGCCTCTTGGCAACAGCATTTTAACATAGTTGCCATTACAAAAGGCTTCATCGCAAGGCCATTATGTCCAAAGCACACCACTCCTCCCTGTGGGCTTTACCTAATCCATCTAGTGTACGAAGACGACGGCTTCCCAGCACCCATTTCAACAGTCCAATAGCACATAAGTTCATAGACCATTTCATACGGAATAGCACAAGTACGCTAGTTGGAGGTATGCGACGGTTGAATAGAAGGTATGACTAGAAGCCTTATCTTGGTGCACCCATACTCTGTTAGCCTCGTTTCCAGGCTGAAATTCTTCCTGATTAAATCTCCATATTGTTGCCTTGGACACGTGGACGGTTTATATTAATGAATTTTGTATTCGTAGACTTCCACCTGTTGCAAGACGCCACACTTTCCTTGGTAAGCGTGAATACTACTTGCTGCAGGTCTCTTTCTGAATAGTTCTTGTGACCCAAGCTCATCCTTATTACTTTGTTTTCCATTGCCATTAAGTAAGATATGTATCCTCGTCTTGGTAATTCTAAGCCTCAGATCTCAACACATATTTATGATATAAGTGTATGAATATTTTGCATCAAAATTTTCGGCTGCATCACAGTACCTACAAAACGCCAAACAATGTCAAAATGTAGTTGCGACACTCCGCGACTTTATATCATATGTGACTGACATGCGACTTACTGATTTAAATTGTCACAAAAATTGTTTTAATATAACGCATATATAACACT